GTCAACATGTCACCTGTTAATTCGACACTTTGCATTGAGTGCTGCCTGTGGAGCTGCACGACACCTCACCAACGCCACCAGGATTGCATTCTGCACGTGATCAAGGATGATTTATAGCAAGGGTTAGGTCGTGCATCCAGAATATTGATGGAGGAGTTTGCTGCCTGTTGTTCTTAATGGCTGTTGCAGCGTCGCACTGATTGCTTCCTGTTGGCCCCTGGGAATGGGCTCTGCTGGGGCAGAGCCAGGGGTTCTGCAGCACTGGGGTGGCCATGGTGCATGTCCAGGTGGCAGCTCCGGGTGGGCAGCCTGCTGTGTGCTGTCCATGAGTGGCTGGCCCATTCCTGTGGCATCCCGTAGTAAAGTTTCCTTCATGCTCTCCCAGTGACAATCCCTTTGTGCTGGGCGGTTTCTCTTTCTTTTTTAATTTAAAAATCTGCATTCCCACTTCCACATAGCTCGTTATCTCAGGCCGTGTGATGAGGTGTCCGGGCTCCATCCCGGCAGAGATGATGCAGAACACATTCGCTCCGGCTGTGCGATTGGACCCCCCCTCCCGTGGGGAGCGGGTGGTTTTCATTTCAGCCTCTTCCATTAGAAGCTCTAAGGGGAGCACCATCTATTAACCAAGAACTGCAGGCCTGTAAATTTTGGCAAGGAAAGGCACTTGGAAGCCAATCATCTGTATTTTCTCAGACCTGATGTCCCCGTCTTGGTGCACGGCCCCGGCCGGCAGGAGGCAGGTACGGCCGCTCCGCTCCACGCAGATTGATGGTGTCTGCTCCGGAGCCCGCGCCGTCTTCCCTCTCCCTCCCTCCCTCCTTCTCTTTCTGTTTTGTTCCTTTCCTTTTGAGCTGTTTCTGCTTCATTTGGGAGACTCCTTCGGCTGCCAAGTCCTGATGTGTATCTGTTCATTTCCTAGGGCAAACACATTGATCTGTGATTTCTGTTATGATACTGCAGATTCCTACTCCCTTTTTTCTTTTTTTCTCTCTTAACTTTATCCTGCCATCCAGGAGGCGGTTTCTGTGCTAAGAAGAGCAGTGTTTCTAGAAAACGCTCGTTTCCCTGACTCATAGCTGTGCCTAATTGTGTACAGAGCCGGCGTCCATCCCTCTTAGTTCCAGTGTAATTGTTTGTGGTGTGCTCCTTTGTGATTGTGTTATTCCAGTAATAACAGGCAGCCTCCTTCCAGATATTTATTCTTTTCATGAACATCAGCATCCTGGCAAAAGGCTGGGCTCTTTTCCATCTCAGCGCTCTACTTCATAGCTCAAATCTGGGATTAATGCTTTGGGGATCTCAGCAAAGACTTTCCTCCTTTCCGCTCCCTCCTTCCAGAAGCGCCGTCTTTCTGTGCTGGGATTTGGGGCTGTTGGACACACGGTGCTGCTGCTGGGGATGCTGCCCGCTGCTCTGCTCACTGTGTTCACTGCAGCGTTCTGCTCTTTCATTTTGTTGTTCTGCCTCTTTGGCAGTAAGGCTTAGCGCTGGTAATGCAATGAAGGGTGGATAATTTGGGGGGCAGAGAGCAGCCCCATCCTCTCTAATTCACCACCGCACCTCTGACCATGAGGCATCGGTCTTGCAAGACCTCATTTTTCATTCTGGGTCAGTTTTACAGCACACCGGTGTGTGCTCAGCAATTTATGACACAGGGAGAAGGATGAGATCCACGTGGCTGAATGTGCCCTGTGTTAAATCCTGACAATTTACTGGGGAAACTGGTGGCAGGACCCTGTCCTCTCCGTGGGAGATGTGGTCCTGTGCATCCTCCTGTGCTGGCAGAGCGCACACTGCAGCTCCGTGGCTGTGTCGCAGGTGGTGGTGAGGAGGGTATAAAGCACATAGCTCCTAGATGCAGACTGCTGAGCTGCACAGGTTCAACCACCTGTGAGCAAAGGGAAAACATTGGTGGTGGGTGCCCCTCAACTGTGCCCCAGCATGGTTCGTTTTTCCATGCCCTGCTGGTGGATGGCTGGTTTCTGGCAGCACCCTGACCCTAAATCCAGGCAACCTGCCATGCTCAGCTCCTGCATCCCTGCCCTGGGGCTGCCCACCCTCAGCACGGGTCGTGGCAAGCAGGCAATGGGCCCCCCGCTCTGCCACAGCCCCGGGTGCTGCCGTCACCCTCCCTCCCTGCGTGGGAACCGCTCCCAGGGCCGGAGCATGCCGAATTTCACTTTTCAAATGGGGCTCCTGGCGCCCTGCCAAGCTGCTCTTCGTGTTGTCAAATATTTTGGCAAACTGCATCTCTGCTTCAGTCTGAAAGTGCCTTTCGCTAGGGAAACCGCGCTGAGGCGAGCAGTGAGCAGAGCTAGGAGGAGAGCACAATTGGACGGGATAGGCGGTTGGCTTGGACTTGGTTGGAATGGGATGGGATGAAATGGATTGGCATGGTACTGGGGGTGGGATGGGATGGAGAGTTGGGTTGGATTTGGTTGGGATGAGATGGACAGTTAGGCTGAATATGGCTGAGGTGAACGGCATGAGATGAGTTGGGATAGTAATGGGATGATGTGGGATGAGATGGAATGGGATGGGATAGAAGGTATCTTGCTGCATCCTGCATCCTGCACAAGAAGTGCCACCCTGGTGCCACTGCATCCATCCAGCCAAGGCACAGCCGGGCAGAGTGGCCACAGCCAGCAGGGAAGGGGCCAAAAAGTCTCCCGAGGTGACTGCAGTGATTGGTGCCATCAGGCTGAGCGGGGCAAATTGTATTGACAGGAATAAGGAAACACTAAAAACTGGTTTTCAAGTTGCTCTTTTGGCTTTTTGTTCTGAAATTGCTCTGTATTAAAAAGGGAATGAAAGAAGAGGAAAAAAAAAAACAAAAAAACAACAGGCTCTAAGTAAACTAGAAATAAGGGGACTGTATTTTTTTACCAGCTCATTGGAAAAATGAAACATATTTGTTCTGGGTCAGACCAAAATGAGCAAAGCAATCAGTTATCCACAGCGCCGTGGTGCAGCCTGCCTCCCTTCTGCTCGCTCTCCTGGGCATCTTTGAGTGAATATCCAATACCTTTTTATGATGGCTGAAAGAAAGCATCTCCTGGGAGGAAAAAGCGAGGTGTGATCCCAAAAACTCGGCCGGAGCCGTCCCCCCTTGCCGCTGGCCAAGACTCCTTCCCATCACGTTGTGCGGTGAGCGCGCACGTACCCGCGGCCCCGACACCGCGAGAGGTTTTGAAAGCCTGAGAAATCCTCCTGAAGCCTGGTTTCCGGCCAAAAACCCGAGGTTATGCAAACATATGCCGAGCTCGCAACCAGGCTGCGTGTGTTGGATGGAGAGCAGCTTTGCGAGGCAGGTGTGAGATGATGCAGGAAGAGCTGCTTTCGGCGGCTGTGCTGCACGAGGAGCGAGCGTTTGTCTGCAGGACTAACCCCATACACTGCAAACACAGCCCTGGGCCCCCCAACCTGCTGTTCTGCCCCCCAAGCCCTATGGAAGTTGCTAAAAAAAAGGGACTTTGGGAGCACACCCACCTTTGTGCTCCCTGGAGGTTCCCAAAATGCAGCAAATTGGTGATGGCCAGTGCTGGACCAGGGTGGGAGGCTCCGTGAAGATGGGGCCAGGAGAAGAATGAGCTCTGTGGGATGTTTGGGGACAACTGAGAGCTGTGTCCCACATGGGGCAGAGCAGTGGTATTGCTGGCATGCTGAGCACCTTGTTTGCTAGACCGGGGGCATGTCACAACAGTGCTGCATTGTGCAATGGTGCTTCCAGCTTGCGGGGCTGCATTGCTGGGCTGTGCTTTCTGCTCGAGGTCCTGCTCCTTCCTCCCATTCTCTGTGCTCCCATACGATTTTCCTTTTCCTTCACCTTTTACCCAGGACGGGAGGGCACAACCTCAGGCATGCGCCCATTTTGAGGAACAACCCACTCCCCGTATCCTCTGAGACCCCACTGAACAAACACAAGCTCAGCACAGATTTCTCAGAAGCTCAAAATATTGCACAACTTGGAAGAATTACCGGTGGGAAAATTGCTGCGGCACCCCAGGGAAATGCAGCGCACTGCCACAAACAGAGGCATCTGAGCTGCTCCTCAAAACGTCTGCGAGAGTTTCTCTGTTTGGCTGCCTTCAGTTTCTGCGAATTGGCTGAAATCTGCCCTGCCTGAGTTGTGCCCCCACTGCTCCAGGGGATTTTAGTTTTACGTTGGCACAGCTATTAGGAACCAAAGGAAGGATTTTAACATGGAAAACATTGGGCAAGCCCAAATTTTGTGCGAGCGTGCAGCATGGTGAGGAGTGCCCCCCTCCTTGTTGGAGATGGGAGAATGCTCCTATATCTGAGCACAGCAAACAGAGGGGTGCAGGCACCCCAGCCCTCTTCCCATGGGTTCCTCTGCAGCATCTCAAGCATTGTGTTGCCTCACATTGCATTGCATTGCGTTTCAATTCATTGCATTCGTTTTCCACTTTGCTGCAGTGCACAGGATCCTCATGTGCCCCGGCTGCACCACATCCCCATGTTGAGGTCCCCTCCATACTTCCCCTGCAGGGAATGCAGTACCTTGGGAGCTGTTGGCCTCTGGAAGCAATTTAGCACGGGACGTGGCTATTAATTTAAATAGATTACAGAAATTTGAACTAAGCTGCGTATAAATCTTCTGACCGGCTCTTTAGGCTTCACTCTCTGTTGTTTACACATTTTTGTTTTAAAGAAGCACTTATTGATTTCTGAAGCTCAGATGCTTTGCTCAGAGCTCACCTCTCCAGGCGCGGTGGCAGCGCTTTGCTCCTGCACACGTATCACCTTTCAGAGCTACTGTGAGCGAGACGCAGATGTTGTTGGGTCTCAGGTAAAGCCATCAAAGGTGGACGCTCAATCAAGTTTGACATCATCTCCAACCTGAAGGCAAACGGCTTGGTTTTGATTAGCAGCCCGCGGGGCCGAGCTGAGCCCGTATCAGCGCTGCTGCTGCTACTCTACCTGAGTTGCAAAACCACAGATGGTAATTATAACGATAAGTGCTTACAGATTTCCTAACAACAAAGATAATTTGTTTGCTCCATGCCTTGTTAGAAGGGGAATTTTGTTCTGGTGGCTGGGTGGTTTGGGGATCAGCCATTGCCCTTTCACCCCTCTGTCCCCGACGTGGCCGCTCCCCTCTGCGTGCTGATGAGATGCTGATCCCAAGCGAGGAGAGCCGGCCCCACGTAGAGGGGATGCCCTGAGCAGAGCGAGTGCTGCCAAAACCACAGCTTTCCTCCCACCTGAAGGTGAGCCCACGGGCAGCCCCGCGTGGAATCCGCCTGATGGAGTTCCCGTGGCCGGCACTGAGCGAGCACTCAGGACGCAGCCTCACTTTCTGGCTCCCTTTAATGACCCTGGAAGGCCGCGGCTTGTTAAGTGCCCGCTTTGCTTTCCAGAGATCCCTTCCGGCTGCCAAGTGTGCTCGGCAAACAAAAGCATTCCTCTCTGCTCCGGGGCCGCAGCGGCCGCCCGTATGGTGAGCAGACGGAGGCGATTAGCGCACACAAGGGCTGCCCCGCTCCGGTCCTTGTGCACAGCCCGAGACCCCGGAGAGAAACTGCTGCTGCGGTAGAGACCCCTCCTAAAGTGCCCTTGTACCTCCGCATGAGCTCGCATTAGCTCTGTGCAGGCACAGTACCTGTGGGGTCCTGTTCTTGTTTCCCCTCTTTCCCAGCTTGGATCAGATGTTTTTCTCCAGGCCAGCAGTGCTTGGGGTAACTTGGGAAGGTGATATCGATCTTGTCTGTATTTGTTGCTGTAATGAGTCACAAGTTCTGTCTGTGAGCAGAAATGCTTTGGTGGTGCCGGGTGGCTAACCTGCATGTCTGGAAGTGTAGGAATTCCAACAGAATTGGGGAACCAGTGTTTTCTTGGATTCCTCAAGGAAATTACACTAATTGCATCGAGCCTCAGGTCTCTGCAGGGTGCAGATGCAATAGGATGTCCCCAGGGCTTGTCCCTGGCACCGTGGGGATCCAGCAGACTCAAGCCTTTGTGCTGCTGCAAGACCGAACCATCAGTGCACTGTCTCATGGCATGGCTATGGGCAGCAAATGAGGCTGAGCAGAGCCCTGAGCTCGTGGCATAGCTGGGACATGTGCCCTTGACCACAGCAGTCAGACTGTGGCTATGGGCATTGCTTCACTGTTATTATTACTATTATTATTATTATTATTTTGAACCGGTTTTAGTATTTGGGCTCTCCCAAGTGCCTACGCCAACATCTGCACGCAGGCGCAGCGTGCGGTGTCACAGCGGAATGAATAGGATGGCTCCACAGGATAGCCCTAAACAATGGTCCCACGTTAATCAGCTTAATGTTAATCAGCTTTCTGCACTGCTCGGATGTAAGGGAGCTCCGGAGCGGGACGCGCTTCCATGGAACAACGCTGGAAGCAGGACAGCGTGCGGCCTGCGATGCTCCACGATGGGCTTCATTTATCCATTAACTCCCAATTTGTCTCCAGGCTCAGAGTATGGAAAAAATTAGAGCAAAAAAGAGAATTTTTTCCGGAAGCTCTAAGTGAGGAAAGGAAGGCTGTAATAGAAATAGTTTTTGACCTTAATTATGGCTTCTAATGGAAGGAGTTACGCAGGCTCAGCAGTGGGGCTGGTGAGCAGCTGGGGATGTGGGAGAACAATGCCGTGACCCCCAGCCCAGCGATGCCAGTTTAACCCATGCGGGTATGCAAGAACTGGCCTGGCGTTAGGCAGTGGTGGGAGCGGGAGGGGGATTAACTGCTGCATGGGAAGCACATTGCCTTCGGGGTCAGGTCAGACCTCCTTGCTCTGGAAACCTGCTCTTGTTATTGCTGCTCTCACCCAGGGATGGGTCACTTGGCACCGCTTGGGAGCAATCGTGTTTGGGGTTAATGTGGTATGGAAAGCTCCGCTTGGGGCAGGAAGGGGTGCTGCCCTTGGGGGGAGGGCTGCAGAGCCCTGATTTATACCCTCACCCTGTGCTGTGAGGCTGATGGAAGGCTCATCCTCATGTCACCTTCGTGCCTCCTGCTCTCAGCTCCCAGGAGCATGCAGGAGCCCGACTGCTCTTCTGGGTCCTCAAATGCGTTAGGAAACCCCAGTGCTGCCGGGGGTGGGGCTGCTCGGAAAATTCTGGTTTCCTGCTGGAGATGCAAACACGTTAGTTCCCCTCCATTGCCTGTGCCTCCGTGTAGGCTGCGGAAATACTGCAAATGTTCCACACACAGACACTTAACCCTTTGGAGCGTCCATATATAGCATTAAATAATGTATAGAATCATCCTTTGCATTTTGTCAGTTACTGTTTTAAAGTTCTTATCACATCTATTTCTCCTTATACCGAGGTTTTTGCAATGTGTGGGGGAGATCTGTCTCCCTCCCTGCCTAGTTTATCTATAATTCAGGACATTTTTACACTTAGGTTATAATTGACTTTTCCACGCTGCAGCGACTCAAACAATAACTATTAATATTCAGCAGTCTACAGCGATAAAGATTTCCATTTACTCTCTTTTACTTAACCGCGTGAGTATACGGCATCCTATCTCGCACGGTTAACACTGAATTCATTCATATTTATTCTTCATTTTCCAGTGCAACAATATTGAAAGAGTGAACAGCATGTTGGGCAGCCCTGCGTCCCAGGGATCCCGACCTCAAAAACTGATGCTCGGGGCTGTGGGCAGGGCGTGGGGATGGGGCGCACTCATACATCACTTCAGCACTGGGTTGCCCTCCCCACTCCTTCTTCCTGGCCTGGGACCAGCAGTGCTGCCGGCTATTAGCCCGCCTGCTGCTCACTGCCCTGGGAGCCATCTCAGGGTGAATGAATGAATAAACACAACGGCATTTAGCGAGATCTGAAAGGAGATGTGATGATAATTTCTTCCCTGCAAATTGTACGCGCTCATGTTTTCAGCGCGCTGAAAGCAATTAGGGCAGAGCGGAGAGCTGGCAAGATGAGGGGCGACGCTGAAGAAGCTGCAACCATGGAGCCATAATAACAATTTAGATTCTATTTAGATACAAGTGGCTACAAGTCGCGTCTCAATATTGAATCAATTGGCACAGACAAATGGCTTAATACTGAGACATTTGTTTGAGGGGAAGGAGAGGGAGCAGCCTTTTAGAGACTGCCAGGTGGGGTGGATGGGCAGATGGGTAGAGGGACAGGTGGATGGTTGGATGTATGGGTGGATGAAAGGGCAGGTGGGTAGTTCGGTGGGTGATTGGATGGACGAGTGGATGGATGGACAGGTGGATGGATGGATGGGATGTTGGGTGGATGGTTGGGTGGATGAAAGGACAGGTGGATGGTTGAGTGATTGTATAGATGGGACAGTGGGTGGACGGGTGGATGGATGGGTGGCTGGATAGGATGGGTCATTGGGTAAATGGTTGGGTGGATGGTTTGATGGGTGGATGGGTGGTTGGATAGATGGGACGTTGGGTGGATGGTTGGATGGATGGCTGGATAGATAGGATGTACGGACAGATGACTGGATGGGTGGATGTATGAGATGAGCTCTGAGCACTGGGAGGAGCAATCCTATGGGAAACAAATTGCTTTTCTTGCAGCTTTCAGCATTCTGGGATGGCTTATGCTAGGCATCGATTGGAGAGGTATTTTTAGAGGCAGTCTGGTATTTGTTAACCTTCTCATGCAGAGTGGAGCTTTCTTCTCCAAAGCATGTGTGCGTGCACGCGTGTGGAAGGCAGGGAGAGATCCTTCCCGAGATAAGGCGCAAGGAGCCGACCCCGGCGCAGCGCCGCGCGCAGCTGTACAAACACGCGGCTGCCCCGCGCCCTGCCTCCTCCTGGCGAGCGGGATTGGTGACACTGGAGAATGCTTTGCTGTCATTAGCTAATTGAGCTGCTGATGTTAAGAAAAGGTTATGTATTTCTCCTGGTAGTTTTTCTTTGTAAAACTCTGACATGGATCTCTTGCCATAGCAGTAATAATGCCCCAGCTGGGGAGTTGGAGCAAATGTTCCCTTTGGTGGGGATTTTTCTTTTCCCCCCTCTTTTCCTTTTTCCCTTCCAAGCGGGGAGCCCAGAGCCAGACGCTGACCACTGTAAGTGATACCTCCCACTGCTGCCCTGCGTGGGACCACCAGCAAAGCAGCCCCAGGAACCAAGTCCCAACCACTGCAAAATGGGACAAGGGGGGATGCACCGTGCACAGCCATGGGGAGCCGTTTGCTGTTGTGTGGATGCACACATGCTTTGTGACCACTTGCACTGCGTGTTGCCAGATGCTTGCGGGGATGCTACACTACTACTGGTCCATTAGCACCTAGGTGCTGGTGGCTGCACAGACATGGGGAAAGACTGAGCCCCACCAGGTGAGTGGCAGCACATCGAGTGTGCAGGGCTTCACCTGTGTGTCTCCCATGCTGACACTGCCAGTGAAGCACATCTTGCTGTGTTTCTGCTTATCCAGCCACTTCTCGCCTCCTCTATTTGGCATTCCTACTGACTCTGCCTCCATCTCCTCTTATATTCCCCAGCCTCATTCCTTTTTGGCACAGTTGATTCCTTGCAGCCCACGGCACTGTGCCTGCTTGGTGCCAGACATCCCCACAGCAGTGCTTGGGGAAAGGCACAGCAGTGTTCCATGGCACCGACCATGATCCTCAGCAGCCACCAGATCACAACGCAGCTGGTGGTGGCCATGGCCACAGAGGTCACCGATCCCAGCAAGTCACCCAGCCCCTCTGCCAGCACAGCACACACTGTTTGCTCCTTAATTAATCCCAGGCAAAATTAATCAGCTGACATCCGACAGCTGGGGAGCAGCCGGAGGGCATCAGGGCTGCAGCCAGGGCTGGCCCTGGGGCACGGCACTAGGGCTGTCCACACCAGGACTGCTTTCTGCTCCCTCTGCATGGCAGCAGGTCCCAGGAGCCTTCCCCCCCCCCGCCCCCCACCTTGCACAGAAGCAAAATGAAAGGACTGTTGTGATGGGCTAAGTCCCTAGCAAAGGTGACAGCGAGATGGCTCCAGTGCATCAGAATGGCCCCAGTTGGTGCCATGAATGGGGCATGAGGCTTAGCCTACCCTTTCCACACCCATCACACCCTCCTTGTACAGCGCATGGGAGAAGTGTGACACAGGATCTCATCCAGGCAGTACCTGGCACTTACCGGGGGTCTCCTCCTGGAGTTCTGCAGGGTGGTGGGCAGCGTTTCCGCCTATACCGCCATTGGGGTTTTTCGCTCAGCATGGCCAGGATACAGATGCCATTCCCCAGGGCTGTCCCTGCTGGCTGTCCCTCACAGCTGAAAGATGCTTTCCTGTATCTGCAGAGCAAATCCATGCTGGGACCGGACTGCAGCACGGCCGTTCTGTTGGCCCTCGGCACGGCGATGGTGCCTTTCCTAACCCTGCTCTCACTGCTTTTTCTCCTGCTGCCGGCTTCCCCATTCAGGCTGAGCCTTTAATCCATCCCCAGCAGCGCTGCCGCCTGCAGTGCTGATTGCAGGAGGGGGTGCCGGAGCTAACGATCCGGTCCCATCGATCCGTGAATCTGTAATGAGACTCCGGTTCAGATTAATCAGTCATTAGGCCAAAATGCCAACACAGTGCCTGGAAACTATTTGTCTTTGCTGCTGCGTTTTATTTATTTCACTCAATGTGACTCTAAAGGGCTCCATCCTTCCCTCACGGAAAGCACCAGCCCTAGTGCTGGTGACCCCATTCCTGCAGAGGATATTGGAAAGCAGTAATAGGATCGGGAGCGAGCTGAGGTGCACGGGGCCGAGCTGCCAGAACTGCTTACCGTGAGAAATGGAAGGATCCCCATCGGCCGATCAAAGGGGAGGAGACCTGAGCTGCACCGGGGGAAGATATCTGATAGCAGAGGCTCCTCCAGCTCAGCAGGTAAAGCAGGATGCCACAGCTGGAGGTTTCAAAGGGGAGAAAAAATGAATTCAGACTCAAATATGTGGTTGGGAGAGGAGTTAACCACTGCAGCAATGAGATGCTGTAGGTCTGAGGATGGGGTCCTCTGAGGATGGGTTCCTTGAGGGATGGGCCCCTGACTCTACAGGTGTTGCTTGGATGCTGAGCTCTAATTCCCTGTGGCTGATGGAGGTGAGCATCCTCCACCCTGCAGAAAGCAGTGCTGCTGATGCCTAAAGCTTATCTCTACTCTGAGCAATGGATAAAACCAAAGCAGTTGGGGATGGGGTACATGAGGAGCAGGATGAAGATACCGACACAGCTGCTGGGTCCCTCCATGCAGAGTGAGAGGTGCTGGGAGCTGGTTGGGGCTCCTCGCTGGAGGAGGGGAGTTTGTTGGAAAACACCTGGAATCTATTAGGGCTGGAAGATGGAGTCAAGGTTTTGCCGCCTGCAGGCAGCTAAAGTATAAATAGCGGCAAAGGGTTTGTTTTGACTACTTTAAATTGTGCAGGTTTCATGCCCTGAGAATTGGGAGTTTGAAGCTGCTCCTAACGTAATAATCCTCTCGCTTCCCCCTCCCGCCTGACTGGCCAGGAATCCGCACCTTGTTCTCTTCTCCTTCTCATTCCTCTCTTTGTTTGACTATTTTCCCCATTTCCCATCTGTTTATCACAAACCTCCCTCTTCCTGGAGCCTTTGGGAGTCTCTGAACAGAGGAGGGTTGGAGATGTTGTTGCACACAGGGAAGCGGAGGGGAAAGTTTGGAGCTTTACAATGAAAACCAGAGATCTCTGGACAAAAATAACGAGAAAACAAACACAAATGCTGAGATGCTGGGACAGACCCTCTGTGTGATGGGGTGACACCAACTCCCAGCTGTGGACCAGTTGGTGGGGAGCATCCTCTCTTGCTCCCATTGTTGCAGGTGCTAATGCCATGGTAATAGGGCGGTGTGGGGTTCCTAATGGAAATGCTACATCACTATGGACTGCCCTTGGTTCCAGTGCTAGTGATTATTACTGCTTTCTAGTGCCGATGCCACCACACCCAAGTGAGTGACGGTTGTGGGCAAAGACAGATGCATGCCCTGCTCTGAGGAGGTTTTGCTCCAAATTAGGCCATAGAGGAGAGGAGAAGGAGGAAAGATGGGGGTTAGCAAGGGGTGAGTGTAGCCACCGAACCCCCCAGCCTTCCCAGGAGAACAATGTTTCAGCATTGCTGGGTGCAAACCAAGCTGCCCAAGGATGCAGCATGCTGCAGGGGTGCAGTGCTCGATGCACTGCAGTGGGAAATATGAACCCCAGGGCTGCAGCATGGCCCCAACCCCTCTGCATCAGCATGGTGAGGGGCCGGGGCTGCCCCCTGCAGAGGACAGTGGTTCTTCCCCAACCATCTGTGCTGGAGACCTGCGAGTCAAACCCCGCTGACAAGCCATCTGGGGTGTCCAAACGGCTGCACATGGTGCCATTTATTTTCCTATTTTTTCTTTTAATCATTGCTTTATTTCATCTGCCCGGTGAGCAAAAAGCCCAAAAAGCAAAGGGTTGATGAGCTGGAAGGAGGCTACCCCGTGAGTGCAGGTGTTTGCTCCATGTCCTGTGGTGGATAGCTGATGTCATGCCTGGAGGCTATGGGACAGGAGGCGAGAAGTGGGGTCAGGCAGCCTGCAGACAGCAGCCAGAGGCTCATTCACAGAAATAATCCAAGCTGCAGCCACCCAGCAGCATAGTATAGCCTGTAAGGGAGGGCTGAGTGTGTGCTGGGATCAGTAGGAGTGGGAATGGGGGGCTGCCATGGCAAAGTGTCCTGCCATGGGCTCATAGGGGACTTCTCATGTTCCCCCTTGGGTATTCTGTACTGGAACTGTAACTGTGGACCAGCAATGCCGCTCTCCAGCCCAGGCACATCTAGAGGGCAGCTCAGGGGACATGTAGCCAAAGCAGCAGTGGTACATTTTTGGTACTGGGAGAGGCTGCCCATTTGCACAGCTTGGCTTGGGGGCTGCATCCTGTGAAAGGACAGAGAGTATCATCAGCCTCACCATCACCTTGCTCACCCGACTCTTTCTGAAACAAGAAAAGCTCAGCAGCTCCTCTGAGAGCTGCTCACAAGGACGTGCTCCTGCTCTTCATGCTTTTTTCTTTTAATCCAGTTGAAGGAACAGAAGGGATGAAAGCAGCTTGGCTGTCAGCTGCAAGGAGGGATGCTCAGCCTTGGGGCCGGGTGTAGGGCATTCTGCCACCATGGGGCCGTGGCTGTGCGTCCCAGTGCTGGGGTGTCCCAGATGTGACCGGGCCACCGCAGAGCGGGGGACGCACGGCGAGTTGATGTCCTGCACCCGCGGTGACTGCACACGTGCTCAATCTTGCCTCCTTTCACGTGGAATGAGAGTGACACAATTAGATGGAGTTATTTACTTAAAAAGAAGGCTGGGGCCGGACACGGGGTGCTGGCAGCCCAGCGTTTCGCACATCATTATGTTCCCCTCGCGGCTTTGAAGTGGTGGGGCCGGGGCAGCTCTGGTTCCCCGTGGGCTCCCCGTGCCCCGGTGCAGGCAGCGGTGGCAGAGGGGGAACAGCACCCACCAGCACACACTTGGGTACCCATACCCATGGTGCGTCACTGACGCATGGCAGCAGGGAAGGGACCTCCAAGCCTCAGGCTGCCTGATGTCCCCATCCCATTGGGGACCCCCAGCAGGTTCCTCAGCCCGGCCCCAGCCCCACCGGACACGCTGCGGGTTTCCGCCAGCCGCCGCGTCTCAGCTGCTGCTGCCAAAAGCTGGGGGAGCGGAGCCAAGTCAGGCAGGCGGGAGATAAATCTGAGTGCTCCTTGGCTGCGCCAGCCTTTGCTCCTTGATTAATTGGAGGCAGCAGTTCTCCTCGTGCTCCGTTCCCCCTCCGAGGGCCAGGCAGGACAGGGAACCACTGAGAGCCAGCATTTGTCCTTATGAGGAGCATCCTTATGTTTGCAGCAAAAGAAGGGTCGGGTGTTGGCTGCTAGTGGAGGCAATGGGGATAAATGCAGGGCTGAGCCTCTGCCCTGTGAGCGGAGCAGCCTCACACAGTGAAATATTCAGAGGCCGTTGCAAGAGGCTGTTAGATCCAACCGCTCACAGGATTGCTTTCTTCCTTGACAAAAGCCTGGCGTCCACCTCAGGTTAAAGTTAATCTAAACAGTAGGGAAAAATAAACACACAGGATGTGAAAGGGGAATGATAGCTCCAGCACTAAAAAGGCAGGGAAGTGGGAACTGGCAGCTGCTGTTTTATTAGCCGCGAAGCACCAAAAACCTCCTGCGAGATGCACAGTCACAAGTTAGATGTTAGGAAAAATGTCTTCTCAGAAAGAGTGGTGGTGCACTGGCACCATCGCCATTCAAGAACCATGGAGATGTGGCACTGAGGAACGTGGTCAGTGGGCATGGTGGGGATGGGTTGGGGTTGGACTTGGTGATCCTAGAGGTTCTTTCCATCCTTAACCATTCTATGATTCCATGAAAACATGGACCCTGAGCAGCAGCAGCCCTGGGAGAAGATGGCACCAAAGGGCTGGCCATGCCCATTGGCCCATAGGTTCTGAGCGCTGCAGCCCCATCTGTGCTCTGCTCCACCAGGAACAGGAAACTGGGCAGGCAGAATCCACCTTTTGGGCACACTGAACTAATGCCAGGAAAGAAGAAAGAGAGAGATTCAGAGCCATGGTTGTTGTTGGAGAGATTTATTTTTGTTTTGCGATGTCTGTGTCTCTGTTGTAAAACGTATGAGCTGCAAAGGAACGTAAATCTTTATGTTTGCAATATTAACTTCCCATTTCCAGGCTGAAGTAGTTATGGTTCTTTCTAATTCTCTTGGAAATATTCTGTGTGTTTATCCTTTTCCCCAGATGTTTATGTAACTTCCTCTGGAAACTTCACTTTTTAGTTAATTAACTTTGTGTCCAGACGTTTCTGCGCTTGGTTCCCTTGTTAATATCCCATTAATATTGTGGTGCAGCCCCAGCGGTGCTCGGCATGGGGATTTCAGAGAGGCTGCAGCAGGACAGAGCAGCGGGCACTGCCTGGCTTTCCCCATCAGACAGGGATCTGGAGGCACAGTAGTATTCATCAGTCTGCTTTGAGGACACAAAGATTTCCAGGTCTCAAACAAACCCACCACAAAGTGGCCTGTCCAAACCCCTCCCAAATATGTGCAGCCAAGAGGCACTTATTCACACCTGAAGCCTTAATTTGGATGCTGGTCATTCCCTCTCTGAGATAATTAATTGGAGGTGTTAGAAGAACCCTTCCCAATGCCTTCTGTGACAAGGCTCATAGCCGATCGGATCTGAATGAACTTTTCAAGCGCCATACCACCAGACGGACGCACTATTGAAGGCTTTGCTAGGAATTGGATCCTATGGGTTCATTAGGATGCATCCAGCTGCTGCTCCCTCCCTGCGAATTCTGTCTTTCAATCCAAAGACAAAATGCCAAAGCAGTCTGAGCTGGCAGGTCTGTGGGTTTTAAGCCCCTCCAGCGCTGTATTTTGGGGATGCAGTGATGCCTCTTGCATCCCGCAGAGGAGATGGATGGCACAGCAGTCCGACTTCCATCGTCCTGTGCATTGCATTTCAATGGAGCCTTCTCTGTCTCCTTAACAAGAGTGACACCTCTTTGCTTATTGTCTATTAACTTGAGAGGTGAGCACATCAGCCGGCAGAATCAGAAACATTTACCATGAAAAGTAAAAGCTGAAATCCCATTTTCTACTGCAGCTTGATGGGAAATGCTCCATCAGGGCCAGGCAGGAACACGGGCAGCTGTGCCTGTGACAACACACTGCAGCCCATCAGTAGCATTGTCCTCCAGCCCTGGGACAGAACAGCATCTCAGCAGCGCTGGAATCAAAGGCCAAAACCCCATTTCTTCCCTGGTGGAAAGCTGGGAAGGTCCCACCAGCACCCTGGGATGGGGGCACAGGGAGACCCATTCCTGCCCTCCCAGCACGGCCCTTTAGTTCTGGGGATTTGAGTTTCCATTAGTCCCTTTCTCCTTTACATCAGCATTTCCACGGCTGCTTAACTTCAGTGCATTTCATTAGCACAGAGGTTTCTGTCGATATTAGGAAGTCACTGTAATCATCAGAGGGATTTGCATGGCTGTTAGGCCAGGAGCATCGCTACTTGGTAGTGATTTTGGAAGCATTTTTGTACAACTATCTTCAACACACATCCTGATGGCAGAGACTTTGTACCTCTGTGTCCCCAGGGCACTTCAACATGGTTCTGGTGGAGCAAAGGCAGCAGTGGAAGACATCAGCCCCACCCAGGAGCTGTCTGTGTCCACCAGGATCCCCATAGTCATTGGGATGCTCATGATCATCAGGATTCCTTTGGCCACCAGACCACCTGTACCCATTAGGATGCCCATGTCCACCAGGATTCCTATACCCATTGAGATAACCAAAGCCATTGGGTTACCCATGGCCACCAGGCCACCCATACCCATTGGGATGCCCACACGCATCACAATACCCAAGCCAATTGGGATGCCCACACCCACCAGCACACTCATGCCCACTAGGATGCCTGTACCCAACACTTGCCACCTGGTAGTGCCATGGAGATGGCACCCAGTCAGTGAGCACAGCTGTCACATCCGTGCCATCGGGCACACAGCGTGCCAACCCCTCACTGTCACCTGTCTTCCCCAGCACCCTTCCTCACCCCCACTCGCCCTTTGCTGGCATATCCCATGCAGCAGGGGCAGCAGAGGCAGCACAGGGAGGTTGTGCTGTGGAGATGGCTGCCTGCCTCTTCCCACTTCCCCAGCACACTTCAGGGCCAGCGAGCCTTCTGTGGACAGTGCAGTTCTGTTTTGCATCACCGCTTTGAAAAACCCTTGGAGAGAGCAGTGATTTATGAGAGGTTTCTTGTACGAGGGGAAATAAACCTCTGACCAGACCCGTCTGAAATCCACACTGCTTAATTTTCTGTGGAATCAGGATTTTACCCCTATCTGAGGATTTTGCTTCTTTCCAAGAAAAACAAGCAGTGCCGCTCTCACAAGCAGCCGCGTTCTCTCCGGTGCGGTGCAGGGCCGGCTGGGCACGGCTCCCTCCTCCGCCCCATCCCAACCCCACGGGTCACAAATCACAGCAGTTCCTACCGGCGCTGAAGCGAGAACATCTGCTAGGAAAGTCAACAGTCATTAATTAGCTTTTAACTGGGAGATAGAGAAGCGGGAGAGAGGCACGGACCCCTTTAATGAGAATAAAAGGTGTTTAAGCTTAGAGGAGCGCAGGAGCACCGTAGTTACTTTGTAATACGATAAGGGGCTGGGAATTTAAACCAGCAACTGAGGGTTCTGTGAGGGCATTTTGGGTGCAGGAGCACATCTCATGGCCATGAATCCTAGGAGGGAGCAGTGCTGGATAGCTGCAATGCCTATAGCTGGAGGTGGGAGCAAGGAGAATATATCCCAGGTGTGCCCAGCAGAGAGCTGAGCCAGATGCCACTGGGTTAGGGTGGGAGGAGTGAAAAGGTGATGGCATCCGGGTCAGCATCCCAGCCCACGTGGGACAGCTGGTCCCCATCAGAGCAGGTGGGCTGGGAAAGGTGAGCCTATAAAAAAGGCAGAAGGGGAAACCAAGCAACAGGTAGCAAAGGAAAGGGGATGGTGGATGGGTCTGTGCTTGCTTGCTCTGCTCTCCCTCCCTCCCTCCCCAAGCCTGACTGTGGGTAATGTGATTCCAAACAGTAAGAAAGCAGCACTGATAGCCCCAGAGGAAAGGAGGAGGGCTGCTTATTGGAGGGCAATCCACTGACAGCAGCTGTAGGTATATAATTACCACGATGATACGTTAAGAGTTAGTGCGTGTACCCTCTGCAAATGGGTGGCTCTGAAGTTGTGAGGGAAGGGCTGGTATAAGAAGACACTCAGTTAATTAGTTAATTGAGACTCTTTAGGAAATGTTTCTTCAACTGGCTTTTTTTTTTTTTCCCCTCTATTTCTGTAACCATCAGCTCAGTTGCTGCTCATCCTTAAAGCAAAATCCTACCCTAAATGGATGCGCAGTGTGTGTCTGAGCAGGGGCTGCTCTGCACGAAGCCAAAGAGGCTGGTAACAAATCTCTGCTGAGGGGAGGTGATCACCTGGTGGATGCTGATTTCTTTGCATGGCCTGATTATATATGGTATAGTGTAAAATGAAGATGGTGGCTCTCAGTTTTTAAACCCTCACCCCCCTCTCTGGGCTTGGTGCTCTCAGCCCCCGGCACTGCCCTGCTAAGGGAGCAGAGGAGAGCATCCCCAGCTCTGCTTGGGCAAAAGGGTATAATTGGAGTTGTTTGGATTTAAAAATTAAAATAATTTGGGTTTATTTGGGAAGATGAACAGGGACACCTATAGCTCCATCAGCTGCTGAGAGCCCTGTCCAAACTGACCTTGAGCTTCTCCAGGGATGGGGCATCCACCACCTCTCTGGGTGACCTGTGCCAGTTGTTCCACCTTTCCCTTAATCTTCAATTCTTGTGCCATTCCTTGCCTGATGGAGGAGAAGAATTTCCTGGTTACCACATGTCATGTTAATTTTGCTTTGTATTTATTTCCTCTCTTGCAGCCCCCTGAGCCCCCGCTGATTTGTTCTGCCAGCGCTGAATCAATCCAACTGCGATTTCATTCTGTTGGTGGTGAGTTTTTAAGTGGTGGTGTCTCACAAGTTCGTTAGTGAATTCCCTTAATAACCCGCAGCGTATGCTGCTCTGCCCGGCTGCTTTGCGTGCGCTGGGTTTGCCGAGCGCTCCCCTACGTGCTTTTTATCAGTAAGTGTATTTACAAGGTCTTCATTACTTCCTAATTGACCATGCCTCTTCTCTTTAGTTATCGCCTTAAAGAGCAATTTAAAAAAGCAATTCAGCAACAGCCATTCCAGAGCTCTTCATCCCTCCCAGCCCCTTTCTCATTTATTATCATCCTTCTGTCTCACTAGCATTTCTTTTCCCTCATGCCTATAAGCCATACATATTCCCCAAAATGTTTCATCAGCTCTCCATTCCTACCCTTCAGCTGCCATTGGTCCTGGCAGTCTGTTGGGGCTCTCCTTGCAACCCATGCTAAAAAATGCCAATTTAATCTTTGTGTTTTGGGGTTTATTGCCCCCACTCCTCCCGCTGTTGCCCCGCACAGCAGACACTCACTCGACCACAAGAAGAGCATTCCAAATCCCTTCCAAATCACTGTCACTGAACCCAGCAGAGAGGGAAACAGCTCTGGGTCTGGTGGAGATCTCAGGGCGCCCCACGGTTTAATGTCTTCCTTCTCCTTCCCCTTTGAAAAACAGCCTTTTTTCCCTGTGTTTTGTCTTCTGTGTCTTATGTTGCTTGACATGTCGGCTGGTTTTGATCTTTTCCTTTCTGCATTACAAAATTGTCAGCTGTGTAACCTAGAAACGGGGCCGGCTGAATGATATGTTTGCAAATAATAATTGTTAGAAGTTTTTCTCCCGCTCTTCCGTGAGCCATGACTGCCCCACTGGGGGATGTGCCCTCAGGGAGCAGCGGGCTCTGCCATCCTCAGCCCCATGATGGGTATGGTCCCAGGTGTTCCTGCCGAAGCTGGAGTGCCTCCGCGTCCATCCTCATTTAATTTAAACACTGACAAATTCTCCCAGCCGCGGCGTTCATCCATCTCCTAAGCTGTCCGATCCGCACAGCCACTTCACAACTCTCCTGGCTGTGCGGTTAATGTGTCCCTGGGCTGGCTGAGTTTCAGAGCTGGCTGCTTTTATTTATTTCCTCGCAGCTGGCCCTGGTTTTCCAAGCAGATATCCACCTGCGCCTGCTGCCTCAGAGCAGCCTTTGGCTGCCCCTCTGGGTATGTGGCCAGTTCCTAACCACAACCAGCACCTCAAGGATTTGGACATACTACGGGCAAGGCAATGTGAGAGGTAGGAACCAACAGGCTGAGCTGTGGCTGCCCTTGGCACAGGACAGGGCTCCTTGCTGGGGTTCTCCATCAGGGATTTGGAGAGGATGGTGGTGATAGGTCAGTGGTTGGACTGGGGGATCTTAGTTGCATTTTCCTACCCAAGTGATTCCATGTGGAGCTACTGCTCTATCACACATCCTGGACTCACTGTGGGCAAACCACTGGTGCTGGTGCTTCCCTTGCATCTGCTCATATGGTTGTGATGCTCCATGGGGCTCCTACCCCAAATGCTCAGCCCCTCTCTGCATCAGCCTTTATGGGCTTCACTTGTTGGAGCCTGTTCACCTTTGCAATTAGCTCTTGCTCTGCTGCAATTTTCAAGCAAGCTCTCCCTTTCCCAAATCCCTCTAAGACCTTCTCAGAGCATGTTCCTGTACTGTTACAGCTGCTTGTTCCCCCTCCACCCACCCACCCACCAGGGCCAGACGTGCATGGACCTTGCCCCTGACATTACTTTCTGCCCCTGCTCTCATGTCCTGTTGGGAAAATGGGAGAAGCAAATGTCTCCTTTATGTCTGCACAGCCTGAAGGCCTGATAAAGATTCAGGGTGAGCTATCACTGGAGTGAGGAGCAGGGAGAAATCTGAGCTGCATAATTAGGTACTTTGGGGACTGTATCAAAATGTGGCTGACTATAGATTTCCACGTGCTACGTGCTGTTGTCATCCACTCCTCTCACTGGTGTGTGGGAGGTGGTACAGTCCAGCATGACCCCATGGGCTGAGTGTGGTGCTGAGCTCTGGCACCATGTGGGATATATGGCCTTGGGAAGCAACATGGATCAGAGGGTTCATGGGAGGGCTGTGTGGGGTTGCGACCTCCCAGCAGGACCAGCTCCCCAAACTGGTTAAAAACACATAATTGTTCACACCAGTCAAAAATTGCAGTGTGCTTTCCCTCTCAAATCAAGACTAAGTTGAAATATAGATGTTCACTGAATGGCAACAACAACAACAAAAAAAAAGATTAAGAAATATCAGGCTCTGCTGTCGACTTTTTTGATGGAAATACTTTGACATTTGTGAAGTCAAACGTTTAGTTTGTCAAACCAAATGGAACTGTCACACCAAGCCTGGGTGAAGCGTTAATTTTCTGGTTCCGGGGTGGTGTGATGCTGCTGGTGGGGATGGCCCTGTTGGTGGCACTGAGTGGGCACAGCCTCAGGGATGTCCTCATAGAAAGGCAGCTCGTGGGAACTGGGAGGGCACAGAGTGTTCAGCATTAGGACGCTAATCCAGAAGGTGGGAACCCACCTCCCCATGCGTGCGATGCTACGGAACATGCTGTGAATTTAGGCAAACCACTTAACTGCTGCCCCACATTCACCCTCTGTAAGCAGGAGGAATAGTTCTTCCCTGCCTCAACCAGCGTTTGTGGGCTTAAATCCATTAACGTTTGTGGAGTGCTCGGATGTCGGGGTAGTGGGAGCTCTGCAAGACCCAGCGAGAGCCTCTCTGCCTGTTTGTAGATGGCATCTCATGATACGCAGCAGAGGGCTGAGTGCAGATGGTGCAGCAGTAAATCCTCACGGTGGGAACAACATCTGAAGCACAGAGTGAAATAAGGAGTGAAAACATGTGGTGTGCTGGGGCTGTGGGCCTGATCTGGAGCAGCCTCCTGGGCACCCTCAGGGTCATGCCTGTACCCTACTGAGTGAAACTTTGGGGCTCCCAAATCTTGCATAAAGTTAGGGTTAGGTGAACATGTTATTGTTTACTGAAGTTCTGTGGTTGCTTGGGGGAAAGGTGTAGGAGAAATGTCTCGGTGTAGAGCACAATCCATGGGAAACCCAGCTAGAGCTGGGACTTGGACACCCCACTGCCACCTCCTAGGTGGTGACTGACCTTCTGTTATGCTGACTGATGGAGGTATTTGTGGGGAAAAAGGCAAAAAATGCGTTTGAACTGAGAACAGAAACGCCTCTTGGAGAAACAGTCTGCAGAAGTTCTTTTTGTACAGTGTTTTGTTATTGTGAAAAATTGCCTGTGCTTTTATCTACTCCATGCTGGACTGAAACCTAGAGGTGGTTCACTTCTCAACAAACCTCTCCTGCTCTTGCTTTATGGACCGAAACTATGGGACAGCCTCCAGCAAAGCTGTTGCCTCTCTTCTGCCCATACAGAGCGGTACCTCCGGAGTTTCCATTAGCAATGGCTTTCTGCTGCTGGGTTTTCCTCCCTATAATTACTGAGAAATTTGGAACAGTTAAGGCTTCGGATAACAGCAGGGCAGTGACCTCCCCAGCAGCTCCGCTCTGAGCAGAGGTGGCCTGGGATGCTCGGTCCCCACTGCGGTGTGTGGTGTCTCGTGGCTGTTATTAATGCCTCTGCTTTGCTTACCCAAGTACTTAGCTGGTTCAATACATTTTCAGACCTGTCCTTACACTATTGTTGGGAAAGATTCATTAGGACTTTGGCTGGAAATTATAGTGACAGGTAGAGCAGGGTAATTTATGGCTTTTCTTGAGGGTTGTGCAATTATTCAATAAGTGTCTTTCCTTCCTCTACCCCCCGCCAGCCACTTGTTGGAAATAAATATTGGATTTGTATGCAGAAAACTGGGAAACAGCAGAGCCAGGAGTGGCCAGGGGGAGCCCAGCTGGGCTCTTTAGGTAACTCTTCTCATGTTCCTGTGCACCAATGGGTCCTTTCCCAAGTTCTGCCTCCTTGGCACTGCTACCTTTGTCTCCTGGCTGTGCCATGCTTGGTTTGGCATTATGGCCTCTGTCCCCTGTCTGTAGCAGAGACTTCCCCTTCGTATCTCAATTCTTTCAAGAATCAAAGCCAGAAGAACCCCATGGGGCTGCTGGCATTTGCCTCAGGGCACACCCTGCACACCACTGCCCCCAATATCTGCATCCTCCAGGAAGGCACTGAGGATGCCGATAGTTTCCAAAGCATCTGTTAATGCTGACAGAGTGCAGCCCAGCTCTCCCCATCTTGTGCAAGGATCTGGGGAGCAAAGCAATCCCTCTATGAGCAGCCATCCCAGAAGAGGTGACCCACAGCACGAACCGGTGTGCCCCATTGGGAGTTGGCACTGCCTGGGGCTTCCCAGCCAGCAGCCCGGGGATGGTGAATCCCCAGAGGGAGATGTGGAATTCACCTGTCTGAGCCGCGTTAGGCTGCGTAAATACCTGCCTAGGCTCCTTCTTACAAACTTCCCTCTGAGGGTGATTTCAGACCTCAAATCAGGGTTTTGCTCTGCAGTTCCACTGGAGGAGATGCTTGGTCTTGGGGACTTTCTCAGTCTTCATAACTCCCCATGCTGGGTTCTTTCCCCATGTTCCTGCTGGGCACAGCAGGGCTCAGTGCAGTGCCATACAAGCAGAGGCTCAAGGCAAAGGAGCTGGGCTGGGCGCAGTGCTGGTGGTGGCAGAATGTCAGTCGAGGTATTGGCACTGCAGCATTCCCACTGCTTATCTATCCTGCTCCTTATGCGTTTTCACATTTTGTTTGAATTAGTTGGGATTGTTCCTCGCAGCGTGCATGGCTCTGCATTTGTCTACTTTGGATTTCATCTGCCATTGACTGGCCCATTCATCAAGCTCTCCTCGGTCCTTTTGAAGTTCCCTGTAGTCTTCTCTTGTTCTGAATCCTCCATGTAATTTGGATCCTCTGCCAGATTTTCTCATGACATTTTTCATTCTCCTTTTCCAAATCATTAATGCATCCCTTTAACCAGTGGTTTGAGCACAAAAACTCGGGGAGGCTCCCTTTAGTACCGCAACCCACTGGAAGGCGGTCGTTATTAACACAAGTTGTTTTCTCTCTTTGTCTCCAACCCTTCGAGTTACTTTTCTCCATTTGCTCTACAAATGTTTAATTTCCTTAATAGCCTCTCGTAAGGGACCTTGTCAAAGGGCTTTGAAACCCCAAACACATTATGTCAAGTAGTTCCCCTTACTTCACTGTTCTAACGATGGGAGAAAGCGTCCTGGTAGATCAGAGGCATGTAGCTCCTTTCAGGAACTGGGGCACATCTCGGTTAATTTACGCGTTTTAGAATCCAGCTTCTCACGAAAACCTTCATCTCCAACTGCCGATCCCATCCTGGCAGCCTCAAAAAGAGCCACGTCCATGCATCTGCTAGAGTGAAAGCAATTTCCACCGCCAGCTCTTTGTTAGCAACCGGGTCGAGGGCTGCCGGAGCTTTGGGTGTTTCCCTTTGAACTCCGGCAGCTTTGTGCTGGGCAGCCTGCTGCCATTTTTACTCTTTTTTTTTTTTTTTTTGGCATTTTCCTTTATAGAAATGCTTTGTTGTTATCACCTGGAAACAATGGGGCTCTCTGCTGTCCCTGAGAGCTGCAGCCAGTTGGAAAGCATCCTCAGTGCTCCTATAGCCTGCTGTAGTGTGGGCAGGTCACGTCACGCCACGCGATAAGATCCAACACAGCCATGCTGCACAGAACCTGCTCCACCCGCCGGGTGATGGATGCTGCTCCCTGCCCGTGAATCATGCTCATGGTTGTGTAAGGTTTATGCTGTATTTCTGCGGCCCTTATAAAGTTCTGCACAATTTATATGCACCACTCCTGCGTCGAGCCATTCATGCTCCTTCTTCGAGGCACTGGGATTTACTCTCCCCTTGCCGCAGCCCGGGGAAATTGCACTGCTGATGGAATGATCCCGGGGCCGTGGCACTATTTATTGTTATCAGAAACAATCCCACCACGTGGTGACTTCTGACCACAAAAAAAAAAAAAGGGGGAAAACGCTGCGTTATCTCCAACACCAATACCCATGAATCTTTAAAGAGAAGAAAGTGTTTCCCCAACCAGCAAGCACTTGTGAAGACATTTAAGTCTAAGAATATGTGACAGCTCATCAGAAGAGGAAGCAAAATGGGTTTTAGGATATGGAGGAAGCAGCCGGCACTCGAGGAGCCCAGGCAGGGCAATGGGCCCAAAGGCACTGTCTCCCATTGGGGTCCCCATGTCCATCGTGGGGTCCCTGGCCCCAGCACCCCGGAGAGCTCCGCACTGTGCCCTGCCCAGGTTGGAGCCTTGCTGGCGACTTCCAGGCAGAGTTCTGGCACCGAATTACCTGTCTAGCTGGGATCTTATCTCAGCGTTTATCACTGCCGCCTCTCGCTGTCAGCACTGTTTATAGGCAGGGGAACCGAAACCCTATGCTAAGAAATTTCCTCCTCCTCCTCTTTTCTTTCAAATCTGCATCTGTTCCAGACTCCCTTTCATTAAAGACCACATGAAAGCCAAAACAATCCCAGGCTATCAGACACAGAAACCTTCACAAGGTAACCTCCTCTCTGCATGCACTGGGGTAAATAAGGCACACCTTGGCCGGGGGGGTTGTTTGGGTCCTGTCCCCCTTGTGTGGGTGCCCATGAGACCTCCCTCACCCCCAGGGCAGTGTGCAGGGTCAGGGATGCAGGGTGTGAAGGATCTCGAGGTCACCAACCCGCGTGTCCCATTTGTTGCTCAATCCTTGGGAGGCTTTGTGACATGGGGTGTGTGCTTGGTGCATTTCTACCTGTTGTAAAACATTTGTGGAGTTACTCTACAAAGAATGGGGAGGGAGGTAAGGGGCTGATAGTGATTAGGCAGGAAATGGCTCAGCGTGGATGGCATCCATATGGGGGAGCTGAGAGATTTGGCGTCTTGCAGGCACCACTTGATGGATCCACTGATAACCTGGCAACAGAACAGACCTGGGCTCTCTGATTCCTTGCCAGCGGCTCCACCAAAGCCGGCTGGGTCGGCCTTCGTTAACACCTTTCTGGGCTGGGAACCCGCTGAGATGCGTAATTATGGCCATAAAGCTGCCTAAGGTTATGGCCCATTCAATGGCCAAAATACTGTCCCCAAAAGCCCCATGGGTTGCTGGCTGGGTTAGATGCAGGGCAAGCTGTGTGCTACACTGGGCTCGGGTCTGTAATTTCCCTGTGGTTATTTCCAAGATAACTTATTTCAGATTTTTATGATGCTTACAAATTGAGCAACATCTTAAAAACATAATTCAGGCTCCAACGGGTTTTTAACGTGTATGTTTTTACAGGGAAGCATCAAATATTTTCAAGTGTTGGTAAATTTTGGGGATGGGAGTTGGGAGCAGGAGACAAGAGGGGGATGGTCCTGGCCCCCAAAGGCTTTGAGGGCACTCCTCCCAGATGACTTTTCCCAGCTCCTGCTGGGGCCATCCTATCTCCTCAGGACACCAACATCCCACACCAGTGCAGGAGAGGAGTGCAGGGCCAGAGCTGCTGGTGTGCCATAAGGAAGCGATTGAAGCTTTCACAATCTGTTTAACCAGTGACATATGTTTCCTGCAGGCACAGCGGTGTGCTGTGTGCTGAGGTATGGCCACGCATCCCCACCAGTCCCTGCATGTTGCTTCCGTTGGGCTGCTCAGGGGGGGAACACCAAGAAAAGCCCCTGGAGAGGCAAACCTATCTCAGAACATCATGTCCTCACTGGGATGGGGACAGCTGGATACCAGGTGGCTGGAAGCTCTGGGGATGCTGTGAGATGGACAGGCTGGATTAAACCCTACAGCACCAGGTTTTAAGAGTTATTTGGGGTTTGGAAACGTTGTAGAGGTGGAGAAGCTCCTCATGGTGCTGTGCAAGGGGAATTGTCAGGTCACTGTTGGAGGCAACAGGAAAGCAGTGCTGCAGCATCCTGCCCCACATTGGTCATTGCAGCCATGCAGAGGATGCAAGAGTCAGGGTGAGCAGTGTGGGGGCCCTGAAAGCCGCTGGGGCTTCTCCTACCCCGTACATCCTGGTCTCCAGCCAAGATGAGCCCAGAGATGGTTTGGAGATGAAGGCTGTAAACTTGGTGTGAGAACACAAGGAGGAGAATGGAGTGGAGGTTTTACAGATGAGCCAAAAGCTCAGGGCCTCCTCCGTCATTCTGCAGGGCCAGGGTTTCCTTCACACTAGCAACCTGCGAAGCCCACGGGAAAGGTGGAGATGGGAACGGGGCTTCCCAACCTTTAATGGGAATTTTGGCTCTGTGTTCCCAGACAGCTTCCATGCACATGGGGACATGGCAGCACTGGGTCACTAGTGCTTGGTTTGGTGTAACAGATATCCCATTGCAGTGCTCATGAGCAGATAGCCAGGTTTACCATGCCTTACTCCTCTGCTTCGTTCCAGACACAGATCTCCTTTGTGCACTGCAAATCAGCACTGCTGTCTTTGAGGTTTTGGCCTCAGCCAGGTGCCTGGAGCACGTTGCACTGAAGCTGCGCAAGGGGGGAGGCAGGGGGGCTGGAGCAGGTGATCATCATCTCCAGAAAAAAAGCTCTGGCTCCTGAACAGGGCAGCGGCAGCTTCCTGTGCACAAAACTGCACCACTGCCACCTGGAAGGGGTTGGGAGCAGAAGCACTGCCGGGCAGATTTGGCAGTGAGCTGTGCAGATCATTTCCTTTGATATAGTTTATTTTTCTTTTTTTTTTTCCCTTTCCATGTCAACTTTCCTGCCTCAGGCTTCATGCAATGTGGAGGCCTCCTGTTACCTGGAAATGACTGTGGGGTGACAGCATGGGGGGCAGAGGGGCTGGGAACATGGGTTTCAACCCTGCTCTTTTGCTTTCCACCAGGGCAGTGGGATCAGCCCCTCAGCCTGACCCTACAGGAGCCCTGTACTCACACATGTGACAAGGGACTTCTGTTTTGCTGATGTGTCCCCATCTACTTGTCCATCCCTGGTATACTGCAGGGCAGGGGGCAGGTGAGGCTGGGGCTGAAGCCCCTCCATGGTTCCAGGTGAGCACTGAGCTTTGGGTGCAATGGGGACAGAAGCTTGTGCCCCAGTGCTGAGCTGCTGCTGGTGCATCCGCAGCAAGCCCTGCTTGTTACTCTATTAAATTTCCATTTTGACGTGAAAACAGCTGGTTTCATGGTACCTCTGACTGTGTTATTTACACAGTCATGCACACAATCCCTGCTGAAAATCGCATTACTCATTGCTTCAGCAGCCCTTTGTCTGCAGGTATCGCCTGGAGGTGACACCGTCCCCCAGGCTGAGCAGTGGCACCCAACCAGGCTCAGGCAGAGAGCGACCTACAGAGCCGCTCACTTTCCCAGGTCCCAGCTGGGTGATCAGGGCTGGCAAACCCATCCTGAAGTGCCGCAGCTCTGGGTGACCCCATCTCCCCCCACACACCCCACTGCGGAGCCCCCAGGGCGCGGTGGCTGATGCACATCGCAGGGCAGAGACAACCGTTGGCCACGCTCAATGGTGCTTTGTTCTCAGCCCAGGAAGCAATGAAAATCCTCCTGCTTTGAAGCCTGAGGAGGCCTTTTTATTACATCCAGGGCTCCTGGAACAGGGAACCGTGAGTGCTTCCCCATAGCACAATGAAAAGCTCTCCTGCCTGAGACCACAGCAACTCGTTACACGTGGAAGTGGTGAGGTCGGTGAGCACTGCCGTGCACACAGCTGGGATATGGAAGAGCCACGGTAGAATGCTGTTGACCTCGCACCCTCTGTGCCTGCAGAAAACCATCCCATTTTTGTGGCTGAGAAGATCCTAAGCAGCAAGGCGGCCCTAATAATTCCACTTAATCTTCCCCCATAAATCATTCCTACCCTCCCCTGCAGTCTATTGGCATCATCTGGTGCTATTAGCTAATTTCAAGCCAGGAGTTCACACGTTGCCTGGTCCCATCTTGTCTCCCTGCAGCACTAAGTATGCACTCCTGGAGGAAGGCTGCCTGAAGTCACCCTCCTCATCCTCTTCTGGTGGGGAAGAGGTGACAGCACACCCCCATCAGCCCAGCAGAACAGGGGCATAGAGCTCCTCCATGGTGCCTCATCCTGGGATTTACAACTCCAGTTGGGATTAACTCTGAAACCTGATGACAACACCTGACGTTTCTGCAGTGTCCGTGTCCCTCCTGCTCATCCCCATTTTGCTAATGAGCTTTGCTCAACGGTGCAAGATTTGTTCTTAAGAGCAACTTTGGAGGATCGAGAGGTAAGTGTTTAAAGATGCAAAGGGGATAATGATGTGTTATATTCCCACAGGAGTTCTGAGTGCTTTCCTCAAAGCCCCCATCCCCACTGAGCTGCTGGGGAGTGCAGCCATGGCAATGGGTCCTTTCCAGCCCTTGAGGACAGGTTCTGATAGGAAAACCAGGACACAGCGACGTCACACTCCAGGCAGGTTGGGTTTTGTCTGCCATTTTTTTAAATCATTTTGAGGCAGGAGTAATAAATGCTAAAGATGCGCTCGGAATTTGAATATGAATGATAAGAACAGCTGTGTATATCTATTATGAACTAATATAAACAGAAATGTATAAACTGAGATTTTGGGGGCTTTGGGAAGAATTAGTGCCTTTGTTCCTGGATTTTTTTCCTATCAGAGTTTGAACCAAAGCCCATTAGCCCGGACTTTCCCGCAGCCGCCCCAGCCAGGAGCTTCATTTCGCGCTGGCTCCAAGCCACGCTGAATTCTCCTCAACAGCTCAGTGAGCCCTAATCCTAACAAATTTACCCAGAGAAGTGGTTCTCTTATTACACTGCCTAATTTGAACGCTTTCCAAGGTTAATTTCT